AGAAGGCGAGTGGTACAGCGGAAAACAATGCATAATCTCCTTAGGGAGCTTGACTAAATGGATTGCAGAACAGGACTTCGGAGAAATAACAGAAAGACAAAGTTTATTAAGATCTACAAATGACAGGAAGTTTGGGAGAGCCGTGATCGGCTACATCCTGAGGGGACACGGTACATAAAGAAGAAGAACGGGGTAGCCAGATTAGGCTTTGGGGTTATTCTTTCAAAAAGCCGGGCTTATGTGAAGAAAGTTAGTAGGATTAAGAGAGTTAGTAGGATTAAACTTTAAAGTATCTCCCACTTTGCTTCTTGTCGACCCATATAGCAACCTTATTCGTGTCACAGGCGCACTCTTGAAACCTTAGATCTGAAAAAAAAGTGGCACCTATCATAAAGAATGCCCGTCTCGTATAGTAAGCTCGATCCTCCTGAAGTGACCCATGTTTGAGACCTTTTGATATATTTCAGTATTTTCTATAAAATTGCGCTGACAATTTCCAGATGATCCAAGTAATTAAGAAAATAAATCTATTTTAACTTTATGACAATTTTCAAAAATAAAATATAGATAGACATTCAATAAAATTTTCTTTTTTAATTTTTTTATTAATTTTCTGGGGAAAATCTTCCATTTAGTTTCCCCAAAATACGAAACTAATTATTACGTAAGAATTCTTTTTAATCAATAACATTTTTCAGTTCATTTCTATTACCTCAAATTCACTAATTTCACCTGCAAATTGATTGTGATGGTTCCCAGTGCTCTAATTACTACAGGCACTGCCTCAATGATCATGATTTTCTTTTATGTGCCGTGTCCCTTCAGGACGTAGGTGATCATGACTCTCCACTTCCTCCTGTTTTCTCTTATGTTATTGCTCCAAGACCTTGTTATGCCATCCACTTGATTAAGCCCATTAAGTATGTTGCTTTCCCTTGTCCCTCTTTTCCTCTATCCGCCCTGTGAGTATCAGATTTTCCAAGTCTTCCTTTCTCATTACGTGTCCCAGAAATTTCAGCTACCTCTTCCTGATATTAAACATGTTTCCTCTTTGTTTGCGTCCTCATCGAAACCTCATCGCTGCTCACATGTTCGGTCCATGGTATCCTTAGCATCCTTCTGTAGAACCACACCCCTGTTGCCTCGAGTCTCTTCATCTTTGAAGAGATCATGATATACAGCTTCTATATTATTCTAGCGAGAACTAGCTTCCGAATCATTATATAAAGCCAGGGGATCTATTGATATTCAGTAATGGCACATAATGAGGAAAGAGAGCATAGAAAATCTGATACTCACAAGACTGATAGAAGGTAAAGGGGGCAGAGGAAAACAACGCATAGACTATCTAGCGAGCTTCAGTAAATGGATGTCAGAATAAGATTTAGGAAATAACCAAAAGTCAAAATTTATTAAGGGTTACAAAGAATAGGAAATGGTGGAGAACCATGAAGGGACATGTTGTATAGCTTACCTCGAAGAGTCTACATGAATAAAGTTCTGCTATGCTTTCTTACAATCCATTACTTATTGTTCTTCGTAAATATTTTAGATCAGTAGTTCCCAGAGAGGATTGCGGTGGTGTTAACGGTTATGCGTATAGAAAATAGAAGACTATTGTCCTCATCTTTGTCGCCATATTTATCACAACGTTTCGGCCGTTGTACGCTCCGGCCTTCTTCAGGTGGTTGGAATTTCGAACTGAACCCTTTATGAAGAAGACCGGAGCGTACAACGGCCGAAACGTTTTGACAAATATGGCGACAAAGATGAGGACAATAGTCTGACTAATGTAAATACTGTACATAATACCTCATCTCAGAAATATAGACAGACTCAGAAAATAGAAGGTCAGTTTGTATTCCCTTCCACCTTTGGGAATGAAATGAATCGATCATCATCCAGCTATGTTTAAAATAATAAAGTCAGATTTTTTCGCAGCCAGCCTGGGAAAAAGGATAGTTCTAAATTCAAAACCATGAGAAAGGCAATGTGTAATCCCTGTACTGGTTTTCTAATGGCAGTTCACAGATATTTTATTAATCATTTCACCCCAAGCAAAACATTAAAACCACTAAGACACAAAGGGTTACTAAGTGTGAAATAAAAGAGAGACACATTATTAAGGAGCGATAACAATCGAAGAGCAATCAAAAAGTCATATTAGATTTGAAATTTAGATTCTCTTAGGAACTAAAAGATTTTATTTGGGAACAATTTTCAATTAATACGCACCAGTGTATAATATGCTATTCAGATTTGACAAAAACTATTTTAATTTTAAGCAACTAATTATAATGGCGAATGTATCATTCTAACTACTAATAATACGTGGCAGTTTAAGATAATTTTAGAGTTCACTAATATAGTTTAGTTTTTGCACGGCTGTGGCAGTGTACACTGGGAATTAAAGGACAGACGTTGTTAACTTCTATGAAAATGCAAGACGACATACAGTAAGAATAACACAGGAAATTTATTTAGTCTGCTCTATCCGACACTCCATATTTAGCTAACCGAATATGACCTTTTTTCAATCAAAACGCTTTCATGGGGAAAAGCTTCTCTAATGAAAACCAAATTCAAAACCTGAAGAATTTTATTCAAAAGGTATCGATACGTCATTGCAAATAATTGTGAATATATCAAATGTAACTCTGCTTTATTTTTGAAGAATAAAGTTGATGAAAAAAAAAAAATTATGATTCAATCTAATAATAATGCGCACGTATAAATCATTACATGTTGGACGTTTTCCCCCAAGTCAAATTTAATGCATACTTAATGTATTTCCCTGTGTTAAATACGCTCCAGCCACAAAGATGCATCCTAATTCTGAGTTGCAAGATGATTAATCAAATTGCGAAAAACATGGCCTAAAGACAGAAAGTAATTTTTTCATAAATTCTTTCGGAAAGCAGTTTTATGTTAAACATTTTTTGTGTGTGCGGAGTGATAAGACACAACGTCATAAAGCATACATCTAAGCTTAGCTTTGAATGGCAAAAAGCAGTACAAATCTAAACTAAAAACATGATCTAGTATGCAATGTTGGCTGTTATAAAAAGTTTAATGATTAAAATTTCGGTCAATTAAAATATTTTTTTTTTCTTAGACGCTCTGGCGTGGAGTTCTAATTTGTAAGGTAAACTTACTAGTGATTTAGATTCTCACTGTGTTCGCTACACTTATGACTTTACGTCTTCCACAGACTAGCTTTTTACATGTCCGTACAGCCTGCATAAAAGATAATATTAAATATCAAATCGATTGTTCTTAGAATAATGGTTAATCTTGCGATGATATCGATCCGTAATTGGTTCTCTACTACTGTGGCCTTGTGCTAGACTAAACTAAGGTTTAGTCTAGCATCCAAATGGTTACGTTGAGTCGTAAGTAATTTCCGTTTTTAGAAAATAATTGTAATAACAAATCCAACACTGAAACTAAAAATAATCGTAGCAGTTGAGAATAAACTTGGGGTACACTAATATAGTTTAGTTTCTGCACAGCAACGTTAAGCAATCCGCCTGCATACGGACAGAGAATAAGTTCAGCAGATATACAAAAATAGAGAGGAGTGTAAGATAAGGATGTGTCTTCTCACTGGATTTATTCAACCCATACATCGAGGCAGTTTTGGGAGAATTAGAAGTTTTATCAGGATTCATTATTGGCGGCCACAATCTTAATAATATAAGATATGCTGATGACACAGTGTTGATCGCAAACACAGAAAGGAAACTACAAAACCTCCTACAAAAGTTAGGAATGAAAGCGAGAAGAAAGGATAAAGCATAAACTATATGAAGACAGAATGCATGATCATCAGCAAAATCGTGAGCCCAAAATGCAAATTACAGATCCGGGATACTAAAATCAAGCAGGTGCAGACATTTAAATATCTGGGAACTGTTCTAAGCAGAGTATTAGGCGACAGAAAAATTATTTGGAAACAAAGAAAAGAATACTGATCTGTTACGTTATATCGTGTTATCTCTCCTCTTGTACGGCAGCAAATGGTGGACATTCTGCTCAAGAATTGAAGCAACAGAAATGTGGTTCTGCAGAAAGATACAGGAAGAGGCAGTTGAACATTCTGGGGCGCATAATGAGGAAAGATGTCTTAGAATATCTGTTACTCACAGGACAGATTGAAGGACAAAGGGACAGATGAAAACAGCGCATGACATACTTGATGAGCTTGAACAAATGGATGACAGAACAGAGTTTAAGAGAAATAGCAAAAAGAAAGAAAATAAGAACTACACGAAGCAGGAAGATGTGGAGGGCCGTGAACATCTACGCCCTGAAGGGACACGGCACCTAAAAGAAGTTGTTGTTCCCCTCCCTGATAACGCAAGGCCTCATGCAGTAAGAATACCGTAGGAATACATTTTGAAATATGCCATATTTAGCTGACCTTGCAACAATCGATTAAAAACATTTTGAGTCGGGGATTTTCGCTAATGGAAACCAGATTCAAAAGTTCGTCGAAATATTTTCCTCAACAACACGAGCAGAATTTTACTCAATTGTTATCGAAGAGCTGTGAGATAAATGCCAGCAAAGCACTTCAAATAATAATAGTGAATATGTAATTGAATAAAATATAACGTAAATATGTAATTAATTTATTGAAGAATAAATTTGCTAAATGAAAATCGAAATTATTTCTGACTCAATCCAATATTTAAGATAGTCAAAAATCAGACTCGTCTGAAGGCGGCGGACCTTTACGAGAAAATAAACTCACAAGAATTAAGAGACGAGTTTACTGGCCAAGGCCGTTTGCGTATCGAAGCAGACAGAAGTATAGCAAAGAGAGACAGCCCGACACTTGCTCCATTCCCTTCAGTAGACTGGTCCCTGTTGCCTTTGAGTGAATCAACGAAGGCCCAAGCAGGTGCTATTGCCTCTCAAACTCGCCGGGTTAGCCTCCGTTCGCAGCCGAGCGGATGGAATTGGATAAATGTTTAATGAAGATGTTGACATAAACAATGACAATTAGAGCAGCTGAGAGGGCGCCATCCACTGCCGTCAGCTCAACTCCGCCTCTTCCGGCTGCGTTTTACTTCTGGTCACAACTCGCAACCCCACACCGCTCGTCATCCACTTTACTCTCATTTCCGAGAATTTCTATTTGCCTGAATTGCCCCACCCACGGCCACCACATCGACTGCCCATGCACCCCGAGGATTTTCGCTTCTTTAGTTTTATTTTTAATTCATTATTTTCTTTCTTTCATTCTTTCCCCTACTGTACAATTATTTCCTTAGCGCCTTACTATTCTTTTCTTTCTTTTTTCTTTCCTTCTTTGGCTAAGTTTTTTTCTCCTTTAACTTCAGTTATTTCTCGACACTTCTTTTCTTACTGTTTCTTTCTATCTATCTATCTCTTTCTTTCTCTCTTTCTTTCTTTCTTCCGTTTTTTACCCTTTAGCTACAGTACTTTCTTTCTTTCTTTCTTTCTTTCTTTCTTTCTTTCTTTCTTTTTTTGACCTGTGTTTTTTTTTCCTTTTCTTTCGGTGCTTTCTATTTCTTTACAGTTCTTTCATTCTTCTTTCTTTCTTTCTTTCTTTCTTCGATCTATGTTTTTTTTCCTTTATTTTTCTTTCTTTCTTTCTTTCTTTCTTTTTTTCTTTCTTTCTTTCTTTCTTTGCACTATTTTTGCTTTAGTTTCAGTTCCTTGTTACATCTTTCTTTCCTTCTATCTTTCTTTCTTTCTTTGGCTTATTTTTTTCCTTTAGCTTCAGTTCCTTATTACTTCTTTCTTTCTTTCTTTCTTTCTTTCTTTCTTTCTTTCTTTGCACTATTATTTTCCTTTAGCTTCAGTTCCTTGTTACTTCTTTCTTTCTTTCTTTCTTTCTTTCTTTTTTTCTTTCTTTCTGCCTTTTTTCTTCACTGTTATTTTTCTTCATGCTCAATCTATCATTTTTTCTCTCTCCCTGCTCCATTTCTTATATATTTTCTTCCCTCTTGTTTGTTCTATACACTTCTTTTTACTACCTCTGTCTTTTAGAAACAGCATTTACACATTTTCCAATGTTATTTTTGGGCTTTTTTCTTCTGAGCATCTCACTGTGGAACAATGTTTAGCAAGTTTATTTGGCAGACAACATTACTGATTTCAATTTCTTGTACCAGACCGATATTTGCATAATAATTATCTTTTGTTATTCCTAGTGCTTAATTTCATCTTTCTTTTCCGTTTTCATACCTTAAATCACACAACATTTCAACGCTCATACTAAAATCTTGGTCATTTTAAACTTCATAATGCTGAAATGTAACTCCAGAAACGTTAATTGTTGGTAAATAATATCAAATGAATAATGGAATATACGAAAGCTTGTAATCGAATGTTGATTGTAACTCCTTCTTCTTCTAGTGGGTCTTTTAGTGAGTTTACCTCAGTGTTTGGCCCTCTGCTTTGGTTTGATGATTCTATCTCAAAGACTTCTGCAGACTTGATCTTCTGGGTAGACGACACTCCGAGTATAATGCCAGTATTTTCTTCTTCCCTGAAATGTTTGCCTTTTTTATTAATGGTGCTGGAGTGAAACGTTTTCTGAATTGGCGTCATCTGATTGATAGTCAGCCATTCGAACCTTAGAGTAAGTCCTAAGAAGACTATCCCATCAGAAGGTGTGTAATATCGAGGCTAATATATTATTGAGTAGATTATAAACTGTGCAGTAGTATCAGATGAGGCCTCCCGATGAGTCAGGAGTCAGATCAAATAAAAAATGGAGTATTGCTGCCGTATCTGTAGTGGAGATCTTCACTCCGCTCTTTCCAGCCTTGACTGAGTTCAACTCTACCTACACTGCCTTGTGAGAGATGAACCTACGACCTCTTTCCCACCGACGAAACGTCGCAAGCCTATTACTATATCCAAAGCAAATGTTCAGACGAGTTACATTAGTTTCATCAATTCAGATCTTTACAGACAGGGCCAGCCATGCTATGTACACAGTGTTCAAGCATCTTCCTCTCCTTCGTATTCCATTAGTAAGAAGGAAGTTTCACTCAGACAGCTCGCTACCGAGAAACGATACTTTACAAAACAAACACTCGAGGGGGTACTTCCCTGATCGCTACAATCTTAGCCGATTCAAGTCTAGAATCAACCGTTACTTATCCTGCATATCTTCATTATCTGAACTTCTTGCCTTCTCGCATGACGCTCATAAGACAACCCCATTTGTTAACCATATAACTACTTGAGTGGCTCTTGGGTATTTTACTGGTTGAAAATAGTACTGAACGAGTCAATGAGTTTTAAAGGCAAAATAGAACCTTTTCTAAGTGTAATCTCCGAAGCCGAGCGGTATAAACCCACCGAATCGGACTGTGTGTTTCTCCCACAAAGAGGGTCGCAGGTTCGAGTCTAGCCCTAGGGCACAAGTTTTCTCGAGTTCGCAGAGTGGTAGACGAAATAAAGTATGCTTAAAATAAACGGAACGTCTACTCAAATGCAGGTATCCACGAAAAGCAATGTTCGAAGTAATAAAAATATGTCGGATTAAAAAATAAATCAATTTTTTTTTTATATATATAAGTATGTTTAGTGGAATTACTTTAATGTTTTAATTATTAAAAATTAGTTAGTTAATTACAAACTATATGCCTGCAATATATTTTTTTAAATCTTAAGAATACAACGTAGCATTTGTAATTGTATACAAAGTGTTCATTGGGGGGGTCAGCACTTTCAGGTGTGGACTAGTTGCTTCATCGATCATTCCTTCGTGATCATTTTAATCCATGGTTGTTGCCGATGACGTCAATTTCTAACATGTTTTCTCTAAGGAGGAGAAAAAATAATGAATCAGTAGTCAAACTTGCGTTTAAATATTAGATTGAGTGTTCAAACGGAGATGAAAATTATTATTCAGATGAAATAATTGTCGTGATAAGTGTTAGAAATTATTTTGTTATATAAATATCGCCATTCTATATTTAACAGATTAAACAATCCACTCTGTGTGTGTGTCTCTCTCTATTTCACTATCTCTTTATTCTTCTCTTTGTCCCTCTCCTTTTGCGAGCTCTCTCTCTCTCCCCCCCTCTCCCTCTCTCTCTCTCTCTCTCTCTCTCTCTCTCTGTCCGAAATAATTTTTTGCTTTGCTTTGAATTGTTAACTGTTTAACTGCAAGAGTTGAATTAACGGCTTAACTATACTGCCAAAATATACGGAATATATGTGTGTGTGTGTGTGTGTTTGTTTGTTTGTTTGTTTGTTTTGTTCTCCATTAAATCATACGACCTGAAACAGGTAGCACCTTTCTCGAAATATTTACAGAACCAAGTAACGCAGACTTCTTAAGCGATGGGATACTACACTTTATTCCGATTTTCTTAATGTAGGTTCTGCGACTCCAACTCCCTAATAATAATTGCGGCAACAGGGGCCGGAATCTTCTACATTCTGGAAACCTCAATCCAGTGATCAGTGTATATTTTAAGCTTGCCAATTACTTCGACATTGATATTATGGTCACCAGGAACAGCCACATCGATAAAGAAACTTTTTCTTGTTTTCTTAACGACTTGAATTGTAATAATAATTTTATTTTTATTATTATTATTATTATTATTATTATTATTACTACTACTACTAATACTACTACTCTATCCCTCAATATTGAGCGCTATAATTACAGAAACTGCTTACCTAAAAATATCTTCTAGTACTACCCTTGTTAACCGTTTTTATAGGTAAGCCTATTCTTTGTTTATATATATATATATATATATATATATATATATATATATATGTGTGTGTGTGTGTGTGTGTGTGTGTGTGTGTGTGTGTTGGTCGTGGTTTAGGAAGGTTATAGAGAACGGCTGACACACGTTGATATCTGATCAGTATCGATTGGGTCGCCGTTGAGAAGGGGTGTGATGTTGTAAAACTGGAAACCACTAATGACCCGCGGCTAAAAAATCACTGATGATATGTGCCAGAACATTGAACAGATGTATTTCACGAATATATATATATATATGTAGAGAGAAAGAGAGAGAGGGAAAGAGAGAGAGAGAATGATAGAAAGATCGTGCACGTGAACTTCTTGGGTTTTCCTGACGTTTTCAACGCGAGTTGTGCACTACAGATGAGCTGCGCACAAACATAAATATTTGTCTACATTTCTGAGATGTGGCATTATGTACACTATCTACATTATTCGGATTATTGTCCTCATCTTTGTCGCCATATTTATTACAACGTTTCGGCAGTTGTACGCTCCGGCCTTCTTCATGTGGTTGGAATGTCGAACTAAACCCTTTATTTTGATCACTGGGGTAGAGTGTTCTAGTTCCACGTGCCATGTCTAATGGATGTCAGTTATCAGTCATCTTCTGTTAATTCCCCCTCTCCAAGTTCTCCACCGCCTTAATCAGGTATTGAACTCATACTCTTTGGGTCCAGTCACTGGATCTAACTAACGCCTTTATCCACTGTGCCATGTGTCCTAGAGGACGTTGTAATAAATATGGCGACAAAGATGAGGACAATAGTCCGAATAATGTAAATAGTGTAATTGAAATTAATATTCCTCTGCCTATGCCACTATTAAAGAATTTTTTTTAGTAAGGTGGGATACATAAGTTACAAAACATTCTTATTTTTTATAAATACTATGAGAAATATATTATTTTACTTTAACTAAAACTTCTAGTATAACAATAATTAACTGTGATGATGATGATAATGGCTGAGTAATAGTACTTACGATGATAATGATTATATATTTTCTGAATGTCTTGAGGTTATTTTCAGATTGTACTTTGTTACGAATGTTAATTAATGCAAGAAAGGACAAAACCGGAGATCCGAGTTCGAATTCTATCCCGGTTCGTTACATTCGCTTACGCACAAATACCTTTGGGAAGGATGTGAATCCATCTTATCTCCCGAGCTATGGGTTAAATAGTTTTGTATTTTGAAAAGTTATTGTTATTCTAAAAAATAAACAACTATTAATGCAGTATTCACTCGCAAAAAAAAAAAAATTACAATCAAAAATATGTTTAGCATTAAATAAAACACCAATGCATAAAAACCAAATCAATCCTTCAGTTTGAAGTCAAGTCAGTTGAAAAAGGATATTGCTTATGAGCATTTTCGTCCAAGGGATAATTTCTGTAAATAAATAAATATAATGATATTTATTATACTTGAGATATATTAAGCAGTGGCACAAGGTCAATTAGCAAGGAGGAAGAAGATTGTGTGACGCCAATTTTCCTAGTACGGAGGGTCTTCCCATATAAAAAAACAATCAGAATTTGAAATCTCGCTTGTTTACTTTGTTCCAAACATTGACCACTGTTAGCTAATAATAGAAAGTACATGACTATTTTAAAACAAATGTAAACCACGTGGTACTTCTGTTTTGACAATAGTAACAATGATTTGTGTTTTATTTTACTCTTCGATATATCTTTCTTTCCTTGGCTTTGATTTGGGGAGGATTCCCAGCTGTTTATCCTTGTTCTAAAACCTAGATTTCATGGTTCGATCCTGAACAGCGGTTTTAATCCTGAAACTGGGATTTTCTTCTGACGGTACAACACGGCAAACAACGTCAAAGAATCAATCGTCACGTTTCATCTTAAGCAAAATCAGCCATCAAAATCCTCAAATTGATGACGAGAATATTTAAACATGAGCCTGCAAATCAGGCGGCGGTGGCGGCAGTGCTGGTGCTGACGGTGATGAAGAGACCAGGGCAATGTACAAGTGCAATGATGGGGATGAGGATGAGGATGATGTAGCAACAACAATAATATTAATAATAATAATAATAATAATAAAAGTAATGAATGGGATGATGGAGATGATGAGAGCACAGTTCTTTGTTAAGACTGGAAGTAGTGAGGCGCTCGGCCAAATATGGTGATAGCTTCATTCACATAGGAATCCTTTCCACAAGAAATCTGAAACAAAAAAAAAAGACATTGAGATAAAATGTCTTAATATAATAAGAAGAAAACAAGAATTTTTGTCAG